CAAAAGGGCTACTAACTCTACTCGCGTTTTCTCTTTTAATCATGTTTTTCCCTGAAAATTTTCCTACGCCCGTAAGGACTCGCCGCGCGGTCGGTCAAACGGCCAAGTTTTCCCGGGCAAAGGTCCCGGTTTCCCCGGTCCTCTCACCCGCTTCTCGTCCTCCCCGCACTCGCGATCTCGTCCGTCGGCCCCGAGGGCCCTCGGACCCAATTCCGCGGTTTCTGGTTCCCCGGTGGGAATCCTCGGCCGGCGCGCTCCCGGGACAGGGGGTCCCCGGGGGCCGGCGGGCTGCCGGCTCGCGCCGCACGCGAGGATCAGGGACGGCACCGGTGAGGGCCTCCTCTCCCTCGGGCCTGATGATGTTTCCTCCCGAGGCGTCCCTCGTCCTGGGCTAGTCCCGGTTGACCTGGGGCTCGATCGGAGCCGTGACCCCAGGTGTCCCTCCCTCGAGGAGGTTGCCCTGGATGGCCTCGGTGGTCCCCGAGGCGCCACTTAATCCCAATTATCGTGGGTATTTTTGGCCCGTCCGCCGCACCAATGCATGACCGCGGACGGGCTCCTCGGGGACGCAGAGACGCCTCCTCGAGGGTGTCGGCAATGGTCGGGGCCTCGCAGATGGGCTCCTGCCCGCCAGTCCGGCGCCTGGCCGGGAAGTCGGCACCCTCCCCGCGGGCGGGCCTCCTCATGCCGCTAGAACGAACTGAGGCCCTGCCCCCGCGGGTCCGGCATTCGGCGGTCAGTAGTATAACAGTAGCGGTTCTGGATACAGATTCCTGCACCGATATGTTACCGACACCTCGAGAGCCCTCGACGGTTCTCGTCCATGCTAACCGCCCGTCGTCGAGCGTGAGATGACGTCATCGGGCCCATCGTCGAACCTCGATTTCCGAGAATTTGCCGGGAATTCTTGGAATTTTACCGGAATACGGCGAATTTCCACCACGCTCGAGGTAGTTCATCCTAGCGTCCACGGATGGCGCCACCGTAGAAGGGTGCGTGTCCGTGCTAAATCGCATGCGCGCGCGCGAACCCCGCGAAACGCCTCGAGTAACGTTTTCGTAGCCCCCCTCCCCCCTTGCCCCCGCGAAGGGTATGGAATGTTCTAGAACGTTCGATTGCCGTCAGCCGCTCGATTCCACGAATTCTGCCATCCGACGCTCGATTCCAAGAATCGCGTCGGCACCCTCGGTCCCCGCAACGGCGGAAAACTCGCGACGAGATTCCGAGAATTCCCGTCGATCTTGGAGGACAGCCGTTATCTCCCTCGACGCAGGAATCCGCCGGCTCTCGTCGGCCGCGACGTAATTCCGCGAATTTGTCGACTTCGGAGAATCAGAAATACGTTGACTCTCGTAGACGTCGCACTTTGGAATCTTCCGAAACCTTTACCTAAAGGAGGTAGCCGCTACCTTTCAAAGGGAACGATTGCGATTCTAAGAACTTTTTTCAGCTGTCATCGATCAAAAAATTCGCGGTACAGATATCGACCGTAATTCGTTGGTTCTTAGAAGTATCGGATTTCGTTGCAGTTTCAGTGTCAAATTACCTAAGTGAGGGTACCTATAAATTGACCTTTGAGCTTAATCTCACCATAGTTCCGAGTCAATCCTCACCGAGCGATTACAGTTCCAGATAGAAAAAATGGATAGCAAGCAGTGTACTAAGCTGATTAAAATTATGGAGGAGGCGTATCGTCTCCTGGACCGATCTTCGTCTACGGAGCATGATAAATGGATCAGATTTGGGACGCAAAATTTACGTCTATTGAATAAAATACTGAGAAGGAGTGCTCTCTCGGTGGGAGAGAGGACACGCATCTCGACGACGATTTCGATACTGAAATCGCTCGGCGAAAAATTCAAAGAACGACGAAAGAAGGGTCATGGCGTTGCAGGACACAGGAGAAGAGATCGAGTCCGCTGGAACGATCTGGAGTCCGCGTTCAAATCGAGAGTAAGGACCGGGGTGATAGGCAACCTGCAGCACAAGGACTTGAAACGGTTCCTGGAGGATTCGAAGAAGCTGATCACCGTTCGACTGAGGAACGCTCTCCAGAAGGAGAGTAACGTGAAGGTGAACGTTGTGCTGTGCTGTAAATTTGAGACGATGAAAGGCGGTGAAACAGTTGAAGAGATGAAGTTCTTCAACACGAAGAATGAAGTCATTCTTCCGGCAACGAACATCGAGCAGTGGTTCGACGAGCACGCGAAGAGCAAACTGTTGGTCGACATCGAGGATTTCCAGGAAAGAGAGTCGGGCTGGTCGTTAACCGAAATTATAAATTTAATGGTGAACATTAATAAATACATACCGTTACGTGGCGGCGTATCCACGTACGTCGAACTTCCGAAAGATATACAAAATAGGAAAGCCGTCGTGAACGTTAGAAACAACGACTCATTTTGTTTTCTGTGGGCCGTTACGTCAGCCCTTTTTCCAGCCACTAGTAACGCAAGTTGTGTAAGTACGTACCCACATTTCGATTCAGTATTAAAACATGAAGGTCTACATTTTCCGATGAGTGTAAAGGATATCCCGAAGTTTGAAAAATTAAATGGATTAACGATTAATGTTTACGGGATAGATTCAAGTGGTAGAAAAAGTGATATAATTCCATTTTACTTGAGTAAACAAATCTCAGATAAATCCACGATTCATCTGCTCATGGTAGAAAGTAAAATTGAGGATGATGATGATGACACAGGAATCCATTCAAGAAATGCAGTGCTTCATTTTGCATGGATCCGAAATCTGTCACGTCTACTGAGATCCCAAATTACTAAACATGAGCACGACATTAAATTGTGTGATCGGTGTCTATGTCATTTTGTAACGACGAATTCTTTCGAGAAACATAGACTCGATTGCATGAATATGAATAAGTGCCGAGTCGTTTTACCGAGCGAAAAGGAGAAAATCTTAAAATTTACAAATCACAAATACCAAGAAGCCGTACCTTTCGTTATATATGCCGACATTGAATGCATGTTGGAATCAGTCACCCACACCGCTCAATCGACAAACACGATACCGTATCAGAAACATACCCTGTATAGTATCGCATGCTATCTGCATTGTACTTTTGACGAGTCGTTATCGAAATTTAAAATTAATCGCGGAGAGAACTGTATACAGTGGTTTATGGACGAGCTACGGGAATTAGCACAATCTCTGGAATATTACCATAATCGCGTCGTTCCTATGGAACTACTCAATACCACGCAGATACAAGAATTTGAATCTGCAGCGTTTTGTCATATCTGTAAAAAACCCTTTACACCTCAGGATGTCAAGCATCGAGATCACTGCCACTTTACAGNACCCTCGAAAGGGGGGCAATAAAACTTACGAGTCCGAGCATTCTCAAAGGGTCTCTTTTTGAGGATTTTCGCCGAAGGTCCGAGATGACGTCTGGCGAACAGTTTTTTTAACTTTCTAAAAATTCTGAAACCCGCTTCTGGCGACCAGACGCCACTCGAGGGTTTTTTCCGCGAATCCGCGGCCTACGTGACCGGCCGCTTCGCGGGTGCCTTCGAGGGCGGAAACCCTTCGGGAATTTTTCTCTGCCAATGAGAATGCTCGACTCAAGGTCCGACTTCCTCCCTCCACCGAGTTGGAGGGAGAACTATGCATTCGGATATTTTTTAAGACATTTGGTAAAAATCAGATTCCAGCAGAATGTTGCCGAGACAACTTCGATTCTCTTAAAACGTTGCCGAGTCAACGTAGATACCATCAGAAAGTTGCCGAGACAACTTCGGATCTCTTAAAACGTTGCCGAGTCAACCAACCGAAAGTTGCCGAGACAACTTCGGATATCAAAAACGTTGCCGAGTCAACGTACAAAAAGTCCAGTTACCGAGCCAACTAACCACCACCGTAAATTCACGCATCTTCCCTTGTCTGTAAAGGAAATATAGTTTGTTGTGTCACTAAAGTCCGGAATATTTCATTCAAAACGCGAAACCAACTGCTGGCGGTTAATTCCCTCTTCAGCAAAACACTATTCGAGCCCGTCTTCCCCAGCCCGAGGATTTACGACCCTCGGGGATTGATTGACAATCGCGAGTTGGTTTAGTGTCGCAGAACAGTTCCGGTTCATGGCCAGTAGTATCGAAAAATTATCATCTTATCTGGACGATTCCGAGAAATTAATTACGCGTAAACACTGTAACAGCGTACAGGAATTTGAATGTTTGACTAGAAAGGGTGTTTTTCCCTATGAATACATCGACAGTTGGGAGAAACTTGAAGAAACTCAGCTACCTCCTAAAGGAAAATTTGTCTCAAAATTAAACAACGATGAAATTTCTGAAAATGATTATTTACACGCTAGCAACGTTTGGCAAACGTTTGATATCAAAACTTTAGGTGAATATTCGGATTTGTATCTGAAGACCGATGTGCTACTCTTAGCTGACATTTTTGAAAATTTCAGACGCAAATGTTTTTCCGTGTACAAATTGGATGCTCTACATTATTTTACGGCACCCGGTCTAGCCTTCGACGCTATGTTAAAGTGTACGGATATCGAACTCGAACTTCTCGATGACGAGGAGATGTTATTGTTTATCGAGAAAGGTATTCGCGGCGGCGTAGCTCAGTGCTCTAACCGATACGCGAAAGCGAACAACAGATACATGGGAGCTGATTTCGATACGAGTAAGGACGAATCGTATCTAATGTATTATGATGTAAATAATTTGTACGGGGCCGCCATGAGTCAATTTTTACCTTTCAACTCGTTCGAGTGGGAACAAAATTTCGATGAACTCGATATTCGGAATATTTCCGATACTTCCTCCACGGGGTACATATTTGAGGTTGATCTAGAGTGCCCCGAATCGCGTCAGGAAATTTTTAAAGATCTGCCTTTATGTCCCGATCGTTGCGCACCTCCCGGCTCGAATACGANAAGGTAACTGAACTTATAACATTAATATAACATGTTACATAACATGTTACCTTATTGAGTGGGAAATAATAATAAACAACTAACTTCCACGTTACATTTATGCTACATAACACGTTAGCTTCGAAAACGTAACATTTACCTAACATTTATGTAACAGTGTTCTGTGGGCAGACAGTAACAATTTTTGTTTAAGTACTTCGAGGGAACAAAAATAATACCTTCTCTATATACATATCTGAACTTTCGTCTCTTGGAAGCTTAAAATTCATTTTCTTGCATTCTATCGATCCAAAATGAGTGTAGAAAATTTTCATTCTTTATGGATATCCTAATTTTTATCGCATCTTTATGCAAGATTTTTAACAGGAAATTATATTGACTTAGTTACTTACATAATACATTCGGCACGAGATGATAGACGGCATTTATGTCGAGCATGTTCACCCATCTAGAATATCGAAATAACATTTTCAAGATTAACATCCGCTTATTGTTTCCTAAATTCCATATTGTCCGTGAACTTACATTTCATTTTCTAGACGTTCAAAACCATTCATTTTTAAAGTTGTTGCAAAAGAATCTCTTTTTTGGTTCTTTATGTTTTGGAAAAAGTCGTCAAATGCTATTAAAAACTGGAAAAGAAGTGTGGAGAAGAATAGGCAAATCAATATTTTAGATTAGAAATTGATAAAACTATAAATGCTGGAAAGTTATGTTTACCGAGTCATAGAATTTATCGATTTCAATAGAATTTCGATACATTGAAGGACCTTCGAACATTGCAGTCATTGACATTAATTTCGCCCTTGATGCATCTTTTGAACGTTTATCCATCCAGACGGCATTTGATATTTGCTGGTCCAAGGCAGACCTGACATTCGCTAGTATATGTAGTAACTGAAATGGATAAAATGAAATTATTAAATACTTTGTAGTTTCTAGTGATTAAAAATTCTGAAACGAAGTGAGCTACGCGAATTGTTCACTTCTTCTCACCATTTGTTTCAATCTTTCCCAGTACATTCATCGACTTCCTTTAATTTAATATTTTCCAAAATCCTTTCTAATAAATTAAATGTAGAGACTTACCAGATCTTTGTTTACATCTGGCACATGTCTCCGTAAAAATTCATATATAATTGCACGGTCATAAGGGTTTGATTTAATGCACGACAGCCACCTAAAATTACATCAATCATAGAAATTATTGGGCTCAATTAGACCAAGGCTGCATAAATAATCGTCTCATTTATTAAATAAATCAAGCATCAGTGTATCACCAATTTGAATGAGTTTCAGACCTCGGTACATCATTTGCGACTGAGAACATTTCTTTCTTGAACTGTTGAAGAAGTTCTCTTAATACCGGAGTGGTGTAATGTATCCAGCGTACAACAAATTGCCAATGAATGTGGTTCACTGCGGAAAAAAGATTGCAATTTGCAATGTCTCATTCCTTAAATAAATGTATTTCTCAAACTTTTTACCAATGGCTCGTTCAGTTGCGTTTTTCAAAATATAAGCGAGGTTTTCAAAATAATCAATATCGGTCACGTACACTTCTTCCAATGGATCAATTACTATGCCAACTAGGTCCAACACGTTTTGAAAGACGTTGAGCCAGTTTATCTGACAAATAGTTAATTGAAGATAAATTAATGAAATATTACAATTATACTGTTTGTCATCGCACCTGAGTTTTAGGGTTGTTCTTATCATTTGCCTGGTCGTATCGTCGCTGCAATTCAATGATAGTCATTCTCATTGTTCGAGAGTGCGAGACTACTGGCCTTTCGCGGTTAGCAATCTGCCAATTTTCGAAAACGTTAATAAAATATCTTTTATATCATTTTCGTGTTACCTTTTGTACTCAAAATACAATGAAAGAAAATCATTCATTTGTGTTCATTCAAAAAAATTTAATTTAGGGTCGATGTTAATTATTTACCTGAGTTAGCTGCATTTCTAGGGTCATCATTTCAATTAGATCTGTTGTTATCACTTCTTGGTCAACGTGAATATTACTGGATTGCAGAAAAGTGTCCACAACTGTTCTGAAGAAGTCATCGTAAGCACCGATTTCTTGTTCATGAGTAGTAAAATCCAATAAAACGTACTCGGGTATTAAAAACTTCGGCGGAGTCAGCTGTAAAGATTTAATTTCCTCGATTAGATTCCGAAAAGTTAGAGATGCTTCTCAATATGAGGAGAAACTCAAGATAATGCCCCCAACATTAGAAATTAAGGATAAGAAACGCACATATTCAAATTCATCAGGAATATGAAATGAAAGAAGTCGTTAAAATTTCCTAAATATGAAAAACTTCCGAGAACTGCGTTAGAAATTTATTTCAAAAGACGTAGATTTATATTACTGACAATGAAATGTCATTGTCTTCACGAGGAAACAAAACGGGGTCATGTCGTATGCGTTTCATGATTTCCAACAGTTTACCTTTAAAATCAGTTTTTCAGCCTCATGTTCTGGGTCAGACATCGCTTGTATATTAAAGAAAGATGATGACCCGCTTCTTAAGGTGGTATAATAATCATTAATGTCTTGCCAATCATGGTACACCCAATGCGGAAATATAGTAGGCCATCCTCTTAGCTTCTGCAGAGTTGTTTTAATCGGTTCAACTCCTATTCGTTTCAAGGTTTCTGTACAAAGAAAATATTAAGCCATTGCTAATGATTATTTTTCAGAAATATCTAAAAAATATGAACTTCTTTACCATCGTCTATGCACATCTTGTGCCACACTTTGGCTTTCTTCAAGGAACGAATTTCATTGCGCGGTTGTTCTTCTATAATTTCTATTAATGAAACATATCACTATAATTGTAAGTATTGCGCATTCCTTAGTCTTATCAGACATATGACTGTATTGAAAGGGGGACCTGAGTGTGAATTTTTAATAGTATCTAAATCTGAACGTTTTGCGTAGACTCTCAAAACAATAGCATGTCTGCATTTGCAGAAGCTTCAATGCCAATTTCTTTTGGATCAAACTTTACCTTTGAGCTGTAAATTTATGGCATTCTTGGCTCTTTCGATTCGATTGAAGAAAGGTTTCGTTGCGATATCAGGAAACCTATTTTTCCAATTTCCGCAAACAAATTCATAAAAATTATCGCAGGGGTTCACTTTGCGGTTCATACTTTGCTTGATATCTTGCCCTAATGAAAATCAGGTGCAAATTTAAATGAAATTGATAGGTAGACCGCAAATCAGTTTAGTTTACCGAGCTTCCAGCAGGCCTGCTGATCGCAGATGGAAATGTTTTTTGAAATGTTAGGCTTTTTAATTTTTTCTTTATGTAATTGTTGAAATGCAGGTCGTTTACTTTGTGCCGCTACCAGTAGGATTAAATATGTTCTGAAAATCATTGAAGAATTATTAAGATGAATAGTTAAGATGTCACTGAATTTAATTTGTACCTTGAGTGTAGATACATACAAGAAAATGAAAACGAATATACAAGTCCTCATGTCCTTCCAGATAATAAAGAAAACCGACTCCATTACTGTATATTCTTACATATATTCTTTTCTGTACTTCCTACTTCGGGACACGAAACTTTTTCATAATTATTTGTACGGTTGTATGCTGAGATTTGTTTACGTTTTTATTTTAAATGCAGGCGGAGTCGTGCTTTAAGTATTAACGACAGTCGCGATAAGGGCTTTAATGAAGAAGTCGTGATTAACTGGAAACTGAAAAACTCATTCGGCCATCACAATCTACTACATCGTGACACACGCATGCGATAATCTTACATAAATAAGCAACATCCTTTGTACTACTTATTCATATATTTTAAGGTTAAGTGAAACCCCCTTCAAATCAGTCGATTCGAATGCAACACTTTTGTTTAAGGGTATTGGACCAAACTATCCAAAACTTTGACACATCACTCCTGATCATCTAAGAATTGTCCTGACACATTCAAAATTTGGATGTTTTTTTTTATTTTTTAACTCAGCCCAGACCAGAACCAAAATGGCGTCGAGCTCTCATATTTCGATCAATATACAATTATCGAAGGCTCGGATATGAGAATCGAAAGGATCAGGACAATTTTACAACAATTTAGAACACTCTGGTAGTCGATAAACTCGCATTCGAACGGGATAAAGGCAAAAAAAAGTGTTGTATGCGCTTCTATGCTAAAACGATGGGAATACGAGGTCTCGGAGTGAAAGTTTAATTGACTTGGAAATCACAGATGGCGCAGGGGGTCCCTCTGCAGTCAATTAGGGCCCCAGAAAGCATGAATCCAGAGGATTTCTGGAGTTTTACTTCGATTTCTTTATAATTATTGTAGGAAAAGGACAGGTGGAGTATGTTATTTGGTACAATACCCAATATAATTCGACACAGCTGTCAATATAAAAACGAACGTCGACAGCGTAGGCATTTAGAAGAATCTTCTTTATCGACGTCAATCAAGTTCCTCGACGTGTTTTCCTTCACCTTAAGAGCGATATAATTTACTTTAATAAACCTGAAAAGTCCTCTTTAGTGTTTCGCTAACATATATTATCACCACACCTTGCACTTATTTAACCAATTCATTTAATCGTTTGGTTCGTATTTTAAGGATTCACTGAAATCCTCCGTATTTGAAATTACACCATTTGTCCGTAATTGGCTTATAGTGTTTCTTCTATTTTTCTTTAAAACCACAGTCCTCAATAAATCCTCGTCTTTGTATTCTTATCAAAGCTGAAGATAATAATTATGAGAGGTGTTACGTCTGGTAAGGATGTTGATATTAAGTTTGGTTAGGGATAGATTTAGAAAAATAAAGAGCGAAAAAGAAGGGGGGCTGCACAAAGACTCCACGCCTTTCTTCGCAATTAAGGAAAAGGATGATTGAAAAGAAAATAGGAAATAGGAATCTTGTAGGCCCCTCAGCGAGTCCTATGCGGATTCATCGATATTTGTGAAAAAAAAATGGGATTTCGTTTTTTTTCTAGGTTTATTAGGTAAAAGGAAATCGTGGGGATTTACAAGTGTGTATGTGTGAGTGCGCGCGCGCGCGCGTGAGTAGTATAACAGTGGCGGTTCTGGATACAGATTCCTGCACCGACATGTTACCGACACCTCGAGAGCCATCGACGGTTCTCGTCCATGCTA